TCTTATTTGAAATACTTTGTTTCAAGATTGCTAAGAACTCATTATCTATATTAACTAATCTCCGAAATCCTCCATACGCCGATACAGGCTGTTGGCCCTTTTTTTTTGAGTTATTTACTCAAGTACCATTTGCTTTACTTTCTTAATTGAGTATGCTCTACTCCTTGTGTTATGATATACAATAACAATAACAGTAACTATCAGCCCTGTATTCCTCTTTCTAGCGGTAAACTATATAAATTGGTCTTTATTTCATTTACTAGACAACGACTTCTCATATTATCGGCTTTTTACGGGTTCGTGCTGGTTTATTATTGAGAACGAACCTCTTGGTAAATTTCTACTAAATTTCTTGTTGTCGTCCTTGCATGCTCCCAATTTAATGATAAAACCGTATACTGTACATGTATCTACGTATGGATGATGTTTCTGAACGTGTGCATCACATCAACAGGGTGCAGAAGTCATTCTCTATATGTTTTCTCTCATGAATTATACATTAAAGCCCATAAATTCATCCAAGACGTAGATAAAAACACTGCTTTGTACATCAACTATAGACCCGAGTCTTTATATGATAATTCACCACAATTGAATGCTTCTACCAATCCGGCATTAGCCTTATATTGTGTATATAGTTGAATGTTGAAGTCAATCATAAGGTTACACAAAACCTTTCCCCATACAATCCTTTCCGATCATGAAATAAAAAAGTTATCCTATAACATAGAGACAATTAATTAATCAAATTAAGCAGTTAGTTTGTATTTATAGATAATTCATTCTCAATAACATTAGAAACCACCTAAAGATATGTCATCCAGTAACAATTTGGGTGATGTTTTCACTGGTGGCGCTACCACTTCTCAGCACGTTGAGGCTGAAGATGATGATCATTTCGAAAATACTACTTTCAAATTGAAAAGAACAAGGTCGCTTGGACTCCTCGATGAATTTATTCAACCATCAGAAGTTGAGAATGCTAAGTCAGGAGAGGTGGATTCTAAGGGAAAATCGGAAATAAGTTCGGGAAACAAGGCTTCACCCCTGGATGGCAGCTCTATCAACAAAGAAGGATTAGAAGTTGATAATGATGCTTTAGTTGACGACAATGAAGAAGATAGAGAAAGCTATAAGGTACAATCACCGGTTGCTCTAAAAAGCCCGGAAATGTTACCTCATGATGATACAGATATTCAATACGAGCCATCGAGACATGTGGATTATCTCTCACATCAATGGGATGTATCTGATATATCTAAGAGTTGGCGTTATGTTATTCAGAAGCGGAAAGACGTTGCTAATTCAGCAAGACTAGAGAATGCGAGTTGGAGAACATGGGCTCAACGAAGGTCCAATTTAAAGACAATCAATCCCGAAGTAGTCAATTGGTCCAAGGATAGTGATGTCACTTGGTTGTATGGGCCTATTATGAAGGATGAGGAACATGGAGAGGCGGATGACGAAGATAATCATAAGCGAATCACTACTGCTACGAGTGCGGTTGCGGGGGATATTTCAATACCAAACAAGCAAAAGAAAGGACCAAAACCAATTTTGAAACGTAGAACGGTTCAAGATATGATGATTAGTCATTCCAACTTATTGAAGTTACAACTTGCGACGAATAGAATGCATGATAAACAGCGCCAAGAACATGAATCGCAAACCAGCAAAGAAAATCAACCGCATAACGAGAATGAACCTCCTGAATTTGATGACTACGATGCAATTTCAGCTAAATTGAATTCTCAATACAAAAATATAGATTCTCAGAATAATAGCATGGTTAATTTACAGAATTTAAACGATGATAAGAAAACAGAATCAACAAGCAGTGATCAAGCAACGAACAAAGATACAAATAATCAATCAAATAATACCTCATCTGACAACACTACTGCGAAACCTTCTAATAATGAAGCGGTATCGACTGGAACAAATTCCACTAGTTCATCAAGCCCTATTCCTAAGAAAGATCGTCGCATCCACTTTAATGATGTGGTACAGCAATGTATTGCAGTAGATGAATATTCGGATGAAGATGATGACGATTATTATGATGATGACGAGGAAGACTATTATTATGATGATGAAGAGGAAGATTATATGTACGAAACACCTCATGAGGACCAAGATGATTCTGGAGATGACGAGAATGAAGACGACGATGATGATGAAGGAGGATTTTTCTTAAAAGTGAAATCACCATCTTCTCCCAATGTACCAGTGCCAGGCTTGTCTTTGTCAGCGAATAAGGAGAACAATAAAAATAGTAATAATGATAATACTGAAGATACTGATTCGATCTCCACTACAAACAGTAAGTTTCATAGAAGTATTCATTTATTACCTTCCACGACATTAAATTGTGGTTCTTCAGACGAAGAAAGTGACGATGATAATCCATACACATCAAGTTTATCCCATAATGCGAACAATAGGGGTTACGATTATTATTATGATTACAATACGGTTTATACCTGTGATCCCGATCATGCGATCTATGGATTGAACGATAAGAATAATAGTAAGACTCCTGATGTTGTTGATGTGCCAGACAATATTACGTTAGGTTCTAATTTTGATTATGAAGTTATTGAAAACGAAGAATTCAATAATGACAAAATGCCAATAATTGATCCATCAGTTATCAACAGCAATAACCTCAATTACCCGATCAGCAATCATAATAATAGTAAATCCGTCTCTGAGTCTAATGATTCCGGCAACAAAGTTCAGAATGCAGGCGTTGCCGCAAATGATAACAGTCAAGGGTTTGTGAAACCTACTAGTCCGGACGCTTCAAATATAAAGTCTTCGGCATTCAGTTTCAGTAATTCGGATAGCGAAGATGACTCTGATGACTCTGATGATGGATTGTCGATTAGCACTAAAAATTCAAGTCAATCGTTGGCTCAACTGGTATTTACTCACAACATGACTCGTTCTTCAAACAATGATGATGAGCACCAATACCCTACTTACGAAAGCCAACCAGTTACAGCCCCAGTTTCCAGCATTAACCCACGTCATTCTTCAACTTCAATTTCCAAACAGTCTACTTCATCTAATTCTTTATCACAGCTGTTCTTTGGTGGGGGACTAACGAAGCAAGATCAAAATCAAAATCAAGCACTAGCGCTGTCTTTTTTCGGTACAAATGATGGTCAAGATGAGGAAATTCAAGACCAAGGTGAAACTATTTCATCACTGGATACTTCACAATTACAAAGAACATTATCTAACACTCAGCGCAAAGCATCCCCTCTACCACCACACACTACATCTGCCAACGCCTTTCTGGGAAACACAACACCCCCATTAGAGAGACAACCCAAAAAGACCTTTTCATTTGATTCAGGAAGTGATTCTGAAGAAGAAGCGAACGATGTTATTGCGCCTCCCCGCGTCGATAACTCAACTCCAAGCTACGCATCTTTATCCCAGGTCGCTGATAAGAATGGTATAAGGAGTCCATCGCCTGATGTTAACAACATCGGTAGTCCCCAATTAAATTCAAATAACAGTAATTCTTCTACGCATGGAAACCAAAATAAAAACATAGTTGGTCAGGCAAAGGGCTTGGCAAATCATTTATTGGGTAATTGGAAAAATAACGAATAACGAATGATGGACTATAGACATTGTTCTTCATTGATCTGTTTGCTGCAAGAATCATTTGATATTTTTGCTTATTAATTAATTTGTTTTCCTTCATTTCAATCATCTTTTTTCTCCATTCATTGTTTTAATGGACTTGTATTAAGCTAATTTATTTCATTTTCTGAAGGAACTAAGTATAAAAAGAACAATTTAACTAAATATTTAGCAAACTCATTCTGATATTTATATCAATCATGTACTAGTTATAAATTTATATACTATAGTTTCGTTTTTAAATCGCAATTCATAATAGTAATTAGGCAAATTGAATAAGTGTATGCGATGGTCGCAGATAAATATACAGACCTTTATACAAGCCATAACCAATAATAAATCTAGTCAGTTTACAAGCAAGAAACATAAACTTCATCTAAAAGGATACAATACACTAGCGATATATATATTAACATATAACAAAGGATATGAAACTAATACAGAGTAAGCGATATCTCCACAACTAAGAGACCGAAGCACCCTATGGTGATGACGGCAAATGCAAATTAATAGGTACATTTTTCTTATTACTCAAGCATTTTTGGTGGGGGTTTATTTTATCTATAATTGTTAAGAGTTAAACGATTTTACGTAGCCAGTATGGCTTTTTGAAGTTATCGAGCAATTACAGAATAAAATTGCAACAATCTCTTCCAATAGTACATTTAGACTATTTGGACTATTTGAGCTCTGCCGTGCGTCTATGGCCATATTGGGAAACTTACTCTCCGCATAATTTTTTGTTTGTTTGCTCTCCATTGGTATAAGGTTCAGTGAATAGAACTTTACTACTAGGTTTTCGATGCAAGAATTATAACAAGGATTACGGGGAAAATTACAAGCCCTCTTAGGTGGTAGATAGCGAGAGAATGTTAATATACAAATAGAATAAGTCTTATAAAAAGATAAATAGAAGTTAAGCTCTATCATCGGCGAAATTCGCAACTTGTTCACTAAATTTATTTGATTATATCTTTTTTACTTTCTGTATACATACTTCACTCTACGAAGACTTAAGGCCCTGGTCAATATCAGCAATTAGATCATCAATGTTTTCCACACCCACACTAAGCCTTAATAAAGTAGGACTGACTGTCGAATCACTAAGAACTCTCCACTCAATTAAACTTTCTACTCCTCCTAAAGAAGTGGCGTGGTGAAAATAATGCAATTTCGAAGGGAATTGTTTTGCATCAGCTTCGCTTTCAAGCTCAATGCAAAATACTGGCGAATATCCATTCGATAGTTGCTTCTTAACAAACGGCTCTGTTTGTAAGGAAGAATGATAAATTTTTTTCAATTTAGGATACTTTTCTCTGTTCTCTACCAAGAACTTTATCAACTTCTCAGTGTTCTCAGCTTGCTTCAATATTCTAAGTTCGTATGTCCTCAAACTTCTAATCAACAAAAAGCTCTCTAAGTTAGATATATTACTTCCCAAATCAACACGATCCTTTACCAATTGATTTTTCACATTGATATCCTTTGTTACCAAAACACCGGCTAACAAATCACTGTGACCTCCAAAGTACTTAGTGGCCGAGTGAAATACCATATCAGCTCCCCATTTGAATGGGTCTTGCAATGGAGGAGGTGCGAATGTAGAATCTACCAATAAAAATGCTCCCCTTTCGTGTGCCTTATCAGCATAGTACTGAATATCAAAAACAGTACCGTCTGGGTTGACGGGAGTTTCCAAACAGATCAAATCTCCTTGATTCAATTGGTTTAAATCATCTTCTAAAGATATTTGCTTTAAACCTTTGAGACGAGAAAATATATTCAAAATACCATGACAACCATGATAGCCTTTTCCAATACTCGCTACTTTAGGATTAAAGTATGTCAATGCAGCAAAAAAAGCAGCTAAACCAGAAGTGTATGCCACAGTGTGCCCATCTAATATACTATCTAAAATCTTTTCTACTCGTTCAGAATTTGGATTCGTTTCTCTTGAGTAAACAACGTTTCCAATTATTGAATTTTCAGGCAAATCTTCATCTTTGACTAACTTCTCTGGATCATCATCATACTTATACGTAGTTGTAACATGAATTGGCGTCATTACATCAGCCACCTTATGTATTTCATCAGCCGCGTGAATACTATTAGTGGAAATTCCAGTCATATTGATTGATTATTCTTAAGTCAATTAACTCAAAATAACCATTGAGATTATAAACTTAAAGGTACTATTTATAAAAATATTCTTAACCCAGGCACGTAAACATCTATGGCGAAGATTGCGTTTATTGTTAGTTGGGTCATTAAACTACATAAAGTTACATTAGGTTGTAGAATTGAGCGCAAAAAAAGTGCCATCAAAAGCGCAAAATAGGCGCAAAATAGGCGCAAAAAACTAAAGAACATGCCTTAAGAATTACTCTTCCTTCTTCTTCAGGCTTCCTTTTGCCTCAGATTGTATATGTGAGTCATAAACGGTAACATACTAAAATTCCGTATCATTGCGCTCTAATGAAAACGTTCATTTTTTTTGCACTCAAATACTAAGATGAGTTGCAATTTAGTATAGAAGGATGGTCATAACACTGGTTTAAGTAGAAACAATGTATAATAGTATAGAAATGAGTATATAATATAGGGTAATTATCTCAGTTATGATTGAATCTAATATCTTACAGGTGGACTCTAATGATTTGGTCAATATAAGTGTGAATAATTTAACAGTAGGAGTTAAGAATAGTGTAACAGGTAGGAATGATGTAGAAGCAACAGGTAATGATAAAGGATAAGAAAAGATATTAGACGTGTCGTTTGGATTGAAAGCGGTGAGTTGATGGCTTTAATGGGCGGTTTAGGGAGTGGGAAAACTACTTTGTTGAATCTTCACTCTCTGAGAGCTAATGCAAGAAACAAATAGCCTTCTTTTTCTGGATCAATTGAATATATAGTTGGGGAAAAAGGGATTTCGTAATGCATATTTATTACAAACTGACATTTTATTGCCAGGATTTGCAGTCTATGAGACTTTAATGTTCCAAGTAGACTTGAGATTATCTCCTACTGCTGGTAAACGTGAAAAAAATGAATTGTTAGCATTAAATATTAATTTATTGCCTTCGATTGTTATTTTCGGTCTTTTTATGGGTTGGCTATGCCTTTGCTTATGCCCATGTTTTTCAGGGCCTTGAAGTATTATAACTCGGATATTAATTTGCAGGCTCATTTTGGTGGATATTTTGGTTGTCTAATCATTTATAGATTGGTAATGATTTGAGCTGCTTCCATTAGAGTTAAGCTCTACGTACAGTACCCTGATAAATCTAAAATATTCAACGTCAGTTCTCAAAAATGTGAATAAGAGTCTACTCAACCTTTATTGAAGTTGTTAGCTTGTTGGTCTTTTTGCGGCAATTCAAAGAGTAGGATTTTTAAGCAAGTAATACTTCAATCTTACAGGATATCATAATTCTTTGATTATCTTCAAATTAAACTCTTTTGAGGATTCAAATGTAAGTAAATCACAGAGAACAAGTATTTTAGAAACCCATAGTTGCAGAAGAATAGTTAGCTTGCTTCCATGGTCGCAAATAAATTATACCACCTGTATATAAAAATTTAACCTGAAGTAGAATTCACGTTGCTAATCAGATTATTAGGCTAGGTAGACTAATAAACGTTGTTTAGTTCTTTGTAAGGATAAGTTAGTAAGCGATTGTTTACTAGTCTAAAAGAGTGATATGAAATTAATACCGAGTATTTTGTTAACAACATTCGTTGCGATATCTTTACAAACAACTGGCAATAGACCAAAGCATCCTGATGATGGTGATGATGGCAAATGTGAATTAATAGGTACATTTTCACTTATAACGCAAGCGTTTTTGGGGGTGCTTTGTCTCTCATCGTTAATAGTTAAACGATTTTATGAGTATCCATTGAGAAGAACGTGGCCAGTATGGTTCTTTGATGTGATGAAGCAATTAATTGGTGCACTTGGGGTCCATGTATTCAATGTGTTTTTGTCAATATTGAAATCTAAGAAAGATCCAAGATTGAAGTGTACAAGGAATAAGGATAAAGATGATACTGACAACAGTATTGATCCGTGTGATTGGTATTTTTTAAATATAGTATTCGATTGCACCATAGGAGTTTTGGTCTTGTACTTTGTATTTAATGCCTTTAACAAAGTTTGTCGAAAATGGCTTAAAATTACTCAGATAGAGTCGGGTCAATATGGATCTGATCCAGAGAAACCGTCAGTTAGGGCGTTTTTAAAGCAATTAGGAGTATACTTTGGATCGCTCATGATTACTAAAATTATCCTATACGGAATAGTCGAATGCTTTGAAACTCAGTTATTATGGATAACTAGCCACATACTATTGGTATGGCTAGATGAATATCCCGACGAATTTGAAATATTTGTGGTCATGTTCGTTGTACCTGTGGTAATGAATTGTCTACAATTAGTTTTGGTTGACAACATCATTCAAAATCGGATTATCGGAAAGGTGAATGAACGAATGCATCACGAATATGTACAAAATCCGTCAGGTGTAAATGAAGGATATCTTCATGATGAAATCGAGGAATTTACAGGGCACGGAGACCACGGGCATAAACGAAACCGTAGGAACAACTCTTTATCTAGCAGGGATGGGATCAAATCATACGGTACGTTCAACGACGTCTGATTATGTTACACTAATGATACTCGTATTGGCATTTATAATAATAGAATATTATACCATATTTATAATCTAAATCTTTGTAAGTCTATGTAAGGTATTATGTACAAGTTAGGCCACCTATATATAAACATCACTATTCATCTAACGGGTTTCAAATCCATACCCTTTCATGCAAGCTTTATATTTGGAAATCAAATCGTCACACTTGCCGCTTTCTTGACCGTTGAATAAGAGACATTCATCTCTTTGCTTTTTCTCGTCCAAACAAACACAACATGGCTTTGGTTTAGCATCTTCTTTTTTTTGTTGGACAGAATCACTGCCCTTCTTATCACCTCCACTCGACATTTTATTAATATAATCTTTCAGGATAAGGAAGAAGATAGTATTCCTAAAAGAATGAATTACTAATTCTCTTATGATGTCGTATAATTTCAAAAATGTCTCGCTACCAAATATGCGACATTCTGATATCAATAACACTTCTGGTGTTCTAACAAATAGTGTAGAACTATAATTGACATTGAATAATAATTAAAGGATAATAGAGCGGTAAACTGAAATGTCAGCAGAGTCTTCTGGTTCTAATTCTGAACAGAAATTAACCTCACAAAGTCCTAACCGCTTATCCACCGATGGGAGTGCTAATTTGAATGATGACTTGGCGAATGGATCAGAGTATTCATCTAGCTCGTTTGTATCGTTGCCAAACCATAACTTGCATAGAAGGTCAGGATCAGCTGTATCATTTAAAAATAGTGTTGATGCAGATAGTAGTTTTCTGTCATCGGCATATTTTCAAATATTGAATAATCACAACAGCCAGGACGATGGTAAGATTAATGATATATTTTCTCCATTGGGGCCAAATTCTATATACGAATTAACAATTGCATCAGATTCATCGAGAGCTAAAAAGAGTAGAACTCCAAAGAATACGGTAACCATAAATGGTGGGATAACAACAGTGAGTAACCTAAGAAATCCGACACTAAAAGATATACCGCAGATTCAACTACTGAAATTAAAACAGAAAGTTGAAAACAAAGAATTGGAATCATCGTTAATCCATGTTTCCGAAGAAGATTATAAGAATTTCGAGCTGAGTTACAAATTATTAACTGAAGATACGCTTCAGAAATTTATTGAGCTGGATAATAATAGACAGGGAAATTTATCGGCCTCATCTTCTATTTCAAATTTTCCAACCAAGAACAATTATGTGTCATATGGAGATGATGAAATATCATCAATTCCAAAAGTTTTTCTCGATTCTAATTTCAGACTAGATGACCCTAGAATATTCAAACAAGTAATAGGTGATTTCAATCTATTCTCAGATAACGAAACACCGGATGAAAATGCGAAATCTAGTTTGGCCAACAATCATGATTTACAAGAAGAGCTATCTCACTATTTGGACATCGTTGAAGTGAATCTCATAAAGGAAATTTCGAAATCTTCAGATTCTTTTTTCAATACAATCGGTGATATAAAGGAAATACAGTCACAGTCTGAAAGCTGTGCAGTACAGTTCCATGGTATATTAGATAAATTACAATTGCTTGAGGAGAAGGAATGTCAACGAGGATTAGACATTTTAAATAAAGTTAACGAACGAAAGAACGTTGAACATTTAGAATCTTCATTATTACAATTGAAATATCTAGTATCAATCATCGATTTGGCTAAAATATCTTTTGATAACGGCAATCACTCAAAATGTTTGAACGAAATTGTTGTTGCTGAACATTTGATGACAGGAATAGAATTAGAAGATCCTGACGAGGATAAACTAGTATTATATCCAGATTTGCCATACGCAGCATTAGATCTTTCCAATTTGTCAGCAATCTCAAACTTGAAGTCAGATATACAAGATTTAAAACAAGAATGCTCGAAAGGATATATTAGTGCATTCATAGATTTGCTTTTGGAAGATTTACGCCAACACTACAATAATGTACCATATGAAGACACTTTAAATAGAATGGCGACTTTCATCGATAAATCCAAAAAACATGGCACGAAGTCCTTAAATAAATCTTATCAATCGATCTCAGAAGATAAAAAGGAAAAGTTTAAGGAATATATTACTAACTTGGCGAAATCTGGACATTTATCTCAATCATATGCAAATTATCAGGATAGATTAATCACAGAAATTAAAGATATTATAAAAGTCAATTTACCTAGTACTGGTAAACTGGGTGTTTCACTGGCTGATATGTCCAATGTTCCTTCAAGGTCTTCTTCGGTTCCACCAGAATCAAATAATAACTTGTTGCAACCAGGTAGTGGAGTTTCAGGCAACAGCTTATCATCAAACATAAGATGTATGACACCAAAAGAATTTGAAACCATGCTAACAAAAATATATACTAGTTTATCGGAATGTTTGCGACGTCTTACTGTTCAACAGAAGATACTACTCGATTTTGCACTAACAGCTATCCCTCCAAATTCTGAAGACAATTTAGATGTTATGTCTTTGGATATAACCTTTGCCATTAATAAATCAATTGAATTGACCCAAATTCGATTGACTAAGATTATCAATGTTCGACTGGAACAAACCGCTGAAGCTTCGCTCGATCATTATTTACGCTTATATGCTCTTTCTTCTGCATATTTACAGGAATGTGAATTGATTAATCCAGGATATGTTGCTAGCGGTGCAGGTAACTCTTTGAATGACTGGGTCAAGAATCATATTGGTTACTTTATCCATAAATTTCATCTGAACTCTTTAGCAATGCTAGCAAATAACTGTGATAAAGAAGTTTGGAGAGAGATAACTCAGGAGGATGTCTTGCAGGAGCATCAAGTACTAATAGACGAAATTTGTGGATATGCAGAATATATTGAGACTGATGGCAAGAGCGGATTTTCTGGTGATTCTTGGATGTCCGTGCTAGACTTACATGAAACTGCAAAAGAAGATAAGGAAAATAGTTCCAAATCTAGTAAGCCACTTGATGGTAGATTAATAATACATAACGAATCATTCATGATTCCAGAATTAACTTTAAAATCCTTAGTAACTGTCAGAGAGTATCTTATTATCTCCAAAGTATTCTCAAATAAAAGTTCGGTCATCGAAAATAACCTATTGAATTACTTTAAATTAATGAATTCTAAAACATCGCAGGCAGTTTTAAATGCTGGAGCGACTAGAACTGCAGGACTTAAGCATATTACTACCAAACATATTGCATTGTGTATCCAACTAGTTGAATTTAATATTGCGTTGTTATCTTCTTTACAGGGCATATCCAAACAAATGAGAAATCTTTCACCTCCACCTAATTCACATGAAGAAATCAGCTTTGCTAGAATTTTGAGTAATTATAAGGATCATGAAAACGAGCTTTTCTCGAAATTGGTATCTATCATGTACGATCGTACTATAAATCATTGTGCAACAATCGTCACTATTAACTTGTCAGAACCACTCAAGCACCCCCAACAATGTCATCTGTATATGGAAACATTAGTCAAGGAAACAACTACTGTTACCAAAGTACTCACAAAGTATTTACCTGAGATAAAGTGCTCATTGATTCTTCTGCAGATATTTGATAACTATAAGAAACTTTTAGTCGACTGCTTTTGTACACAGTTATCGCAATTTAAGGATTTTAATGAAAAGCACTCCTTGTTGAAGGATATTGATTATTTTAGGGTAAAATTGTCTGAAATACCAGGCTATGGAAATTCTGGTCAAGTGATTTGGGAAAATGTGAACTCTTTGCCAACAATTGAAGATACAAAAATGGAGCAAGTAATGAGAAACAATATTGAAGGAGAAAGACAGCAAAATACTAGTACGCAAGCTTCTCAAAGAAATTCATCAGAGATTGACAACGAACCCGATGATGTAACAGATCAAAACAACAATAAAAATAGCGATGAAAAAGAGGACTCCCAGGTTAAAAAATGATAGCTGAATGAGCAATTATGTATATTGAACGATTTATAGAATTTCTAGTAATGCATAACTAATAACATAATTGAGTTCTATACATTTAAATTAAATTCACCTTTACTATTTTTGACAAAAACATTCTCATCTTCAGTGACTATACAGTCAATTAATTCATGAGGTGTAACATCAAAAGCAGGGTTCCACACATCTATTCCAGGCGTCGCAATTCCTACCGTTTGTTTTCCGCCAACTCCATTATTAGTTAGAACTGGACCATTAAGCGTAGTTAATTCATGTGAAGGCCTTTCCTCGATTATGATACCATCACCAGTCTTTGTCTTAAAATCAATTGTGGTTCTGGGGGCTGCGATAATGAATTTAATGCCACTTTCTTTATCTGAGTTTGAATTGAAATAATTTGCAATTGTTGATAATTGGAATGTACCAATTTTATTTGCTGTATCACCATTTTCCACAATTCTGTCAGCACCGGCAATGATAAACTTAACCGGAGCAATCAGGTTTTTGACCTTTCTTTGTTTACTTAAAGTAGAAATCAACGATGACGCCATACTATCACAAATAAGTGTTGATGGAATTCCTTCATAATTTAATTCATACGTAGTCAATCTGGCTCCTTGATTATAAGGTCTAGTTTCACATGGATAAACATGGTCTAACCAGAATTTTTCACCTGCATCTTTAGATAACTTATTAAAAACAGTTCTGATTATTCCCAAAGCAGTTCCGTGGCCCGAAGTTGCTAACGATCCAGTATTACAAATAGTAATGATCGAGAATGGACCAGTAAAGTTTTGCGCTTTCAATGTTTCGGTAATGTAACGTAACCCGTTATCACCAATCTTGAAATTATTATTCAAGTCATCGTCATATAATGCAACAGAATATTGATATATGATATCAAATGTGTGCTGGTCAACAGAATCTTCCTTTTTGAACTCCTTAAGTATGAGCTTCTCGATATCTAAACAAGCATTGGAAAGGTTAACAGCGGTTGGTCTTGCAGTAATTAAATAGTGAATGGACTTTACCAAGTCATCAATAGTTCTAGATTTCTCTTGGGATTTTTTCAAATTACTGTATGTCTCCATAACTATAGAAAATGCACCGACAATTGCAATAGCTGGTGCCCCTCTAACTTGCATCAATTTAATAGCTTGAAATGCATCCTCAATGGATTCAATTGAAATATATTTTGTGGCATATGGAATAAGAAGCTGATCTAAAATATCCAATGTTATATTATCTCTATCGAACTTAATTGCTTGAAGGGTTTTAGCATCACCTGTCATTTTCGGGCTTCTGTTAAGAGTTTTGCAAGTGTTAATCAGTTGAAGACAGATTTCATGAAAAATCAATCAATATAACTACGGCCACGTGAGATTGAGCACCTATGATATTTACATTGCCATACATACTGTATTATTTAGAATATTAATCTACGTATACCTTCAATCTCCCATTCCTCTTTTAACCCATTCCATTTACAGCCCAACAACTTCTTTCCAGTGATAGGGCATCTCCCACCTTTGTTGATATCAACTGTTATCTTATCTTCTGGTGTGGCATTTGCCTCGGCTTCATCACCGACTTTTTCACTTTGAACTTCTTTCTCGATATCGGATTCTTCATCATCACTATCCAATTCTTCTCTCTTTAGCTTGACCTTTTCTGAAACGATTTTATGTGATTGGGTAAGATAATTATATATGCATGAATAGCAGAAGACATATCCTGTTTCAATGATTGCAGGATTACTTATTTCGTCTTTGCACAATGGGCAGGTCTTTCCAGAGTTGTAAACCTTCTTTGGCTTACTGTCTAAACGACGACCTCTTGATAAAGAAGAAGGAGGTGGCAATAACGAGTCTAGCACATTTCCCTGGGTTTTAGCTATTTTCAGGGCAAAATTTGAGTTGTTGTACCATTCTAAGAACTTCAAAGTGAAAATAGCTATTGGGAAGAATGTACCCAAAATAAAATTTATCAATCTCCATGATGGCTTTGTAATGTTCTTATTCAAAATTCTTAGTATCGATGCAGCAAGCGTGGGAGGAGCAATTTTATTGGGCATATCTTTCTTAGAAGTAACCTTAGGTTCATGCTTTGAGTAGTCGTATTGATTGAGTCTTGAATAGTTAATTTTGAATAATAACGTCAATAGCGTGGGGGATTTACTCAGTCCACTCAAGTACAATAGGGTTGTGAAGAAGTTACCTGTTCTGAAAATACTCTGCAATATAGGATATAATTTGACAAACCGTCTTTTAAATTCTGTTTTATACACGTCTGCTCTATTTGTAGGGTCGTTTGGTACTAATTGATTTGTGACATACTTTGGGTACCAAATCTCATACCAATAATTGAATTTTTCACTCAAGTATGATACTCCTGTGATTTCAAAGATAGATGCAAACCTCTGCAAGCTGCTCAAGCTTCTCCTTTCTTCTATCATAGAGGGCACCAACTGCGTTAATTTACTACTTCTATATTTGGTGTCTGACAATGGAGTCTGACTTACTCTCTTTAATCCATAGAAATTCTCTGTGAATGACCCTTGCCAATAACTCATAAAATACCACTCAATGAATGTTCGAAAGAACAAATTCAATTCTTCAAAGTTATTTGCAACTTTAAGCAACGCATATGGGTATTTACTGGCATAATGAACTAATATATATCTTAGTGATGGCGATAATAATGATTCCAACTGGCTCGCCGAAATTAATTCAAAAAGCGTTGGAACTTCTGAATCTAACTGCGAGGCATCCAAAGACGAGTAGTATTCCATGATTGTAATAAACTATAGACCACTTCCTGAAGATTTTCTTGATATTGTACTATCAAGCTAATCAATTTAATGTAGTCCCCACAATATACCCGAGGATCAAAACAGTCGTGTGAAGGCTAAACTACTCGATATTAATTTTGCAACAATTGTCATTACTTTAGTATATATACTATTCTATCAGACTACACTATAATGGAAGAATTTGAAGGAATTGGCTCAATTGTGGATGAATTTCAAATAAAGGGATCAACTTTGAATTTATTTGGCATAAAATGGAAGACGCCTAATAGTGACAGAGAGTTGAAAAAGTTTATTCAAATTCCCTATGGACCTCACAACAAAGCTTTCCCAAGTTTACCAATAATCACTAATTCCAACCGTAAGCTGTTTAGATATATCACTCAAGACACTATGATGGATAGGTCTATTTTAGAGTATGACGAGTCTAAATTTGATTCTGATTTTGAACTCAATGATTCTAGCATGAATACAAATCTCACACAATTTATGAACGATTACGACATCAATGACAAAGAAGGGAAAAATTCTGAATATCATAGACCACAGACAAGTTTTGGAAACAATTATCATGAGAACATTCTTTCTGATGTTATACTACAATCGACTTGTGAAGAAATGGAATTGGTTGAAAAAAATAGCATTCTTTCAAGCGAATTCACTCAATTGTCCTCAAACCGTTCGGAGAACGATTCTTCGAAGAAACCAGACATATTTTCCGAGAAAGAAGATGTATTTAGTCTCAAATCAGAACCTTTTGCTGATTTGGAACTGGGCGATTTTGTTGGCCTACAAAACTAAATAGTACGTAATAAAATGTTGGTTTTTATTTAGAGAACGTCGCTTTAACTAATGGTTTTAAAAATCAAGACAAAGTAGATGTATAATGGTGGAGGCAACCCGCACTAGTATTAGATTTCTAGAATAATGTTTTAGATGGTTCTAATTGGCAGAGATTAAGTTCAAGTCTATAGCCATATTTAATATAGGTTTCCCATGTTATTAAATCGAAAACTTGATAGTCGCCGTGCTCAACGTATTCGTTTGCATCTACCTGTGGAGTAGGTGTATTCCTCACACATTTAAACCAGTAATAATAGTGTTTGGATTCAAATAACATTTTATCGAATGGTGACTTATCTTGAATCTGGTTTGTTCCACGCAAATTATTTTGAATTTCTGATCTAGATCCATATGGTTTCCAGTTCAACTTGAAAAGGCACGATTCTGCTATTAAATTTTCTATTGGGGTAAATCCATAATAGTATCCATAAAACAAAACCATGGTTAATTCATTTATTACTGGTACATTGTCTGCATTATTTTGAGCCGATAGTAATTGAATTTCTTTGACGAATTGATCAAATTGATTTTCAGCTCTTATACGGTTCCAATATGATTGAAATTTGAGCAAGTGCAATGGGGCCTTTATGCGTTGCTCCTGTGTATTATTAGGCAAATGATGGTTAAAGGTTGCCTGAATAGCCAGTGGAAGAAATGGCTTTTGAATTGGAGTAATGTAAGGGTTATATGCATTGGTATTAATTAATATTTTAGAATCGTTCGTTGAGACTTTCCGCGTAGCAGTGAAAGAAATTGCTAAGTCCTGAATACCGGGTGGTAGCTTTATTAAATTCAAATCGCTGAATAATTCTAGTTCTGTATTTGACACCGATGAGTTTTGTAAAACTTCAACAAACTTATAGTTAGGATCATTTGACTTTTTCTCTACAGAAAATTGAGATTCTAGCTGAGGCTCGGGATGATTTGTTGGTTCTGGCAGAATTTGAGATTGAAACTGTGATTCAAATGGTAACTTATTTGAGGGCACTCTTGAATTTTGCGATTGAATAAATACAGGCTCTTCTTTTATAGGCTTAATATCCATATCCCCGTTTTTACCTATTCCGTTAGAAGTAGATGGCGCACTTCCCGCGGCAGCTACTGCCCATTTCAAATTTCCCACTGGCTTCGAAGGGGTAGTAGCTGGCTTTAAGCTCTTAATTATCGCAGGGCTCGATAACTCTGGGGTCGAGGGTATAGGTAAAGGAGCCTTTTGGGGTGTAGATGATGTGTCTGGATGAGTTTGTGGTGAATTGTCAGATCTTGAATGTAAAGAAGAAGTAGGTAATTGATCTGCGCTCTTTTTAATTGGAGTTGAAACATTAACCTCGTCGACATCTTCCTTATTAGAAGAGCTCTGATCTTGGAAAGATATGTCGTCATTTTGGCTATTCTCATCATTTATATTATCATTGTTCGACGACTTTGATGCTTCTTTAATTAATTCATCATACAAAGTATCATCGTCGATAAAATCAGGCTCTTGGTTGGATTCCAAATAAAATGTAATATCTTCTTGAATTGCAAACACCGCATCAGGGCTGATCTTATCCTTTTTCAAAAAATCGATAACCATTTCCATTTTTTCAATATGAAATTTGTTTCTATTGCTAAAGCCTTCAATTTCCTGTTTTCTTTCTTCTATCATTGTTAGATTATTCTTACGAATCTTTTTTTGAGATATCTTTTCATATTCACCTTCCAATTTTTCACATTGATCTTCCAATTCTTCTATGCTTGTTTCAAGAAATCCTACTGCCTCCTCTGCTTCTGGTGATAAGTCGATTTCTTCCAGCTCCAAAGCTGCTAGCATTATTGACTGGTTTGAATATGATTTCATCTTTGAGCTCTTTTCTACATCTTTATAGCACTCCATTGCATCCTCCACTAATTTTCTATGCTCTTGCAATTTACTAGGCGCTATTGCTGCCTCAATTGAATCGTTCAGTTGCCATGTTTTAATCTGATCTCGAAATTTTTGTAACTTTTTGATCTCTTTCTTTAAGTCTCCCTCTAACTTTTCTCGTTGAGAATCGCTGTTTGAACTTTGGTGGCGACTGTAATAATAATTAAATAAATCTATGCCTTCGTTTATTTTCTTAAACACCGCATCAACTTCTCTAGTAATTCGTTAGTATATGAAATCGAAAGTCTACTTGTTCCGGATTAACTATTTCAGTTCTCACGAACATAACCTTTGAATTTAGTTCCTCCTGATAAAACGAATAAATTAAGACATACTTTTGAAGCTTTCTATGAGACATGGCTACGGATAGGTTTACCAGTACTTGCAATATTCAATAGTAATGCTAGTTTCTAGTAATGATCTCTTCATTATGGTGAAAAATTTTGAGATCTGGATAGATGGTTGCACGTGAATGGTCTACGAACAAAGTAAGCATCCATACTACTAAATCAAATTAATAACTGGTATAA